TTGTGCTCACAAAATGTATTAGCGATGTCTTATAAGTTAGCTATAGCAGCTTTTCTAATCGTGACATCGGTACGCAAGTCGACGTATGCAGTTAAAATATTGCACGTTTTTGTTCCTTTCCTAAATCTGGTTCTCTTATCGCATAAGTGTATTTTTCCTCATATAAGTTCTGTTCGCGCTAGGCTCTTCCCGACAAGGTCTTTGCTCTCTACTTCCCAGATTACACCCATGAATCTCTTCTGCGTTTTCCTTTGTTTAAGAAATTTTCTCCAATTTTCCCCTAATCAAACAAAAACCAGTGATTTCTAATAATGAATATCAATAATTTCCATGATCCGAGTAATAAAACAATGCAAATTTCACAACGAAACCGATTAGTTTTGTCTGTTCATAGCAATCAAGTTTCGTTGCGATCTCGAGAAAGTTCAATCACCACCTGCTTGTCTGCAAGTGTTTCCGCTGATGAGCATTGAAACTTCAGGCTTTAAGTCTCTATTTTTATGTTTTTCCGTCTTTTTTCAAGCGTCGTGACACAGCAAGGTTAAGAAGTGAAAGAACTTTGAAGCATTACGCTACCCTGGGACTCACCCATGATGTCTTGCGAGCTTGACTTCACGGTTTCATTTAAGTTTTCTTTCAAATCAAATAAAAAAAACCTGGCTTCACACCAAAACATTGTTTTGAAATGCTGTTAAATGTTACATGTACTGATTTATTCGCTATGATAAACAAAAAAGGCATTGGAAATAACTGTTTTATCATTAGCCTCGCTTCCATGTTGACCAATAATTTTTCAAATAAACGAGTACGTAAAAAGTTGGGAAAGCTACACTTTTACGATAGCTTACAAATGAATTTGTAAAGTCTTTTACATAATCTTTCATCAGATAGCATTCACTTGAAAGATACCGAGAACCTCTCTGGCCCATGGACTAGTAGCGTGTTTAGCAATTTCCACGCGCGTTGTCGCGCATTGAAAAATCCGAATTTAATAAGATCGACTACCGCTGACTATCGAGTGTGTTCGCGCGAGTATCTACGATCTGATGTTTACAGACGTTTACAGCTTAGAAAATCATTCAATAGCCGTCAAATACAGCCTCCCGGGCTCATCTTTAAGCATTTATTCACAAACTCTGGTAAAATCATATTATTTTCCTTAGAGGTTTACAGTCTGTTCCTTCTTCAGGCAGATTTTTCTTTTACTATCATTTTTTGGCTATCGCGAGATCTCGTATCGATTACATTTTTGGTTTAGATGCGAAGTAACCTTTATATCGCCGAGAATCGTCTTCTTTATCTTCGTTTCTGTCTGCTGCATACGCAGTGGCTTTTGAATACATCAAATACACGCTGGTAGGCAAACTTCTTACAAAATAAGACAAAATTAGCGTAAACTGTAAAAAAGCCTCTCGCCGCCATATTTGTTATGAATTTTCGTCTTTTAAATCTCGCGCGTCTTTCGTAAGTTTCTCTCGCGCGTGACGCACGAGAGTGACCTGCTTCCCACGCGAGGAAACTGGTACTAGCCACTTTAACCGATTCACGTAGCCTCTTTAGTGTTTGCGCGCGTGTATGTGTGTGTGTGTGTTTTTGTAGGTGAATAATCAACTTTGTTACTTATCCGCAACTCTTACTTTGCTCTCTAAAAGTTCCCTGTGCAAACCATGAGCACATCGCATAGCTTATCGACAGCCTAAGCGTGTGTATATACGTGTGTGCGAGCTTCTGTGCGTGCATATGCTGCGTCCGTGTACGTTCGCAAGTGCGTGCATGCGCACGTTTGTGTCTGTCCTTGCCTTTGTTTCCACAGTTGGACCCCGAAAATTCGAAATCTCAAGGGAAAAGGAAATTTGTTCGAATTATCGGGGGTTCGAATTATAAGGGTCAAAAATAAATACGCAATTTTTACCGCTGCATAACTTTATTTACCCTATTTTCACTATATTAGTGAACAGCCGAAACTGAGTTCGATTTTCTAGAGCGGTTTGATCACCGCACAAGCTCCAGCACAGAAATACATGCCAATTAGCACCTCGCTAAAAAGCCTAAATTAAAAAACAATACCGACAAAGT